GTGTGCTGTCAGACCTGCTCCAAAAAAGCACAGAATGTTAACCCCCAGTTCCCGTGACACTGCCTAGGAATAGCCCTCAGCTGTCACTTAGCTCAGGCCTCCATCCCTGGTTGGCTGATAGAAGGATTTAAATACTTCAAGAAGGGCAGTCCTAAGGCCCAGGAGCACCCTGGTTCAGGTCACTGTTACTGTGATGACTAAAGACCTAGGAGCATCCTGGTTTGGGTCACCACTACTGTGATGAAACATCAAGGCCAAAGCTCACGCTTCCACACCATAGTCATCAAATGAAAACCAGGACAGGAACTCAAGCAGAGCAGCAACATGGAGGCAGGAAGCTGATGCAGAAGCCATGGAGGATGCTGCTTACTTACTGGCTTGCTCCTTATGGCTTTCTCAGCCTGCTTTCTTACCGCAGTTAAGACCACCAGCCCAGGGGCGGCGCCACCCACATGGGTTGGGCCCTCCCACGCCAGTCACTAATTAAGAAAGTGCTCTCCAGTGCTGCTGCCTACAGCCTGATGTTATGGATGCATTTTCTCAATTGACATTCCTTCCTCTATGATGACTAGCTTTTGACGAGTTGACAAAGAACTAGCCAGAACACCTAGTGTTAGCTTTCAGGCTCTTTGTGGGATCAACCATGGCATCTGGGGGCCTGCAAGAGTTCAACTCCTCTCTCACTTATCCTACTTCCTTCAAGATGTCCACAGTACACTGGGCAGTGGTGTCGCACGCCTTTAATCTCAGTGCTAGGGGGGCAGAGGCAGGCGATCTCTGTGAGTCCAAGGCCAGCCTGGTCTACAGAGTGAGTTCCAGGACAGCCAGGACTGTTTCAAAGAGAAACCCTACCTTGAAAGCAAAAAAAAAAAAAGTCCACAATAATTCCCTACATGCAAATCTGCCAGACACAGCAAGCTCCTGTGTCTGGACATCTGATGGTGGTGTTTGGGGAAGCTGTGAAGACTTCAGGAAGCAGAGCCTCGCTAGATGAAGGCTGACTGTGAGATTTTACAGCTGAACCCACTCCCTGTTTTCTTTCATCCTGAAACCTAGTGCTGACATTACTCCGTTCCCCACCCTTGAGGTCTCTACCAAATGAATCCAAAAGGGACACACAGTGTAGCATGCAAGCCGGGCAGGTTCTTTACAGAGTGGGGTGGGCTGCCTCCCAAGGGGGGGAGGGGTTAATGACCACAGGGATCACTGCAGAGGAAAACATGACAGGGTAAGAATGGACAATGGCCACGGGACCCTGCAGGGCAGCACACTCTCCAGGCGTGGTGGTGAGCACTGAAAGGAGACACAGTTGTGCGCAGCTCAGTCTGAGGCAGGCTTCGTGGTAGTTCTCTACAACACAGCTCCTGAGGGAACTTCGTGCCAGGTGATTGGCGGACGGGCCCACTGGATGAAATCTTAGGGTAAGCGACAATGACGTTTTTAGTCTTCACTGGAAAGCTTCTGCTGGTCAGCAATCACGTGGCTATTCAGCAGCTCAGAATGTCATGCCTCCACCCTGGGCCACAGACAGGACTCAAGCCCCATTCTTGTGACCAGTAATCAGGTAAAAAACTCAGATGAAAAGGGTTCAGAGGGCCTCTCATCTGGGGTTGTTGGGGCTTGTCCCTGTCGGAGGCAGGGTCTTCTGAAGACAGGACAAGAGCACCGGGGTTTCTGGGATGTCCCTGATGATTCCTTGCAAGGGTCCGCATGTCCTTCCCACCCACCCCTCTCTACTGCCGCCCCCCGCGCTGGTGTCACTACGACTTCAGCAGCCTCATTTCTTTTAAAACTGCAAAGTTATCCAGCTTCAGAAAGGAGGGTCAGGGTGACCCTTTTTTCTTATATGAGATGGGGTATCACTGTGTAGCCCAGGCTAGCCTCTAATTCACAGAAATCCTCCTCCCTTCGGTCTCCTGGATGCTGGAGTTTCAAACACACGCCACAGTGCCTGGCTCTACTGAACTCTTTTTAGAAGACAAAGAATTCACTGGTAAGAATGGTGCTCAGGCGCCTTCACACAAACCTGCCTGAGCAGAGGAGCCAGCTGTGAATGTCCACACGTACAGCCTAAGACGACACGAGAAACAGCGTCCTGGCTACGAGGAAAGCTGAGCATGTGAATGCATGAAGTTATCTCAGAATCTTCCCCGAGTGGAATGACAACCACGGGAGTCAATGGAGCATTTGTGGAAGACTGTAAATCCCTAGTGCAGACTTAGACTCTCTGCATGTCCTGCAGGACAACCGTCTTCAGGACTTGGAAACATCTAGAGTGTCACTGTGGGTGGTTTCCCAAGCTCATGGTTCATTCCAGTGCTGGGAGATGCAGACAGGCGGGTCCCTCCGCTTGCAGGCAGCCTGCCTAATGATCTGGCCTCCGTCCCAGGGTGAGAATGGGGGTGCCTGTGAGACTCGACACATAAAACCCTCTTCTGGCCTGAATATCATATGCACATGTGACATGTGCCCCTGCCACATACACAAAATGACAGGATGGAGCAATAGACTTCTCTTTTCTATCTCTTGTATACTATTTATTTGAAGTGCTGTGGATTGAACCCAGGACCTAGGGCATTCTGGGTAAATACTGCACCACTAAACTAAAAACCCCACCCCCAATATCTTTATTGTTTTAATTTATCCTTTGTTAATGTTTGAATATGGTTAAACATTTCATTTAACCTAAGAGGTAGCTAGATATTATAAATGTAAGAGGAAAAAGTATACTTTACAAAACCCAAATGATTCAAAGTAAATATTGCTGGCTACTATGTTTCTAAAGTTTTGTATATGTGCATGCTTATGTATGTATGAGAGACAGAAAGAGATAGACAGACGGATGGAAAGACAGACAGAGCACAATAAACTTTACTTAACATTTTTTCTAGCAAATACATTGAGATCCAGAATTCGGGTGCAGTTTGGGCCCAAATCAGAAGAGCAGAGCGGGAAGGCGGCGGGAGGCTGACAGCCACCTACGAAAGGTTTGGGACAGTGACGGTGGGCAAAGCGTTTGCCACACCAGTGAGGACGGACATCTGGCACCCATCAACAGCCAGGCAGGAACAGCAGTGGCCTCCATGCCCAAGACAGCGTGAAAAGATGGGACCCTGGCGGCAAACTGGCTAGGTAGACCAGCTGGGTGAGCTTCTAGTGAAGGCACTCTCTCAATAAATAAAGCAGGGAACAAGCAAGGTGGACACTGACATCAACTTAGGGCCCTCACATGCAACACCATGTACACTGCACACCACGTACACTGCACACACCATGTACACTGCACACCACGTACACTACACACACCACGTACACTGTACACACCATGTACGCATACACACACCATGTACACATGCACACACCACGTACACTGCACACACCACATACACTGCACACACACGTACGCTGCAAACACCATGTACACAGCACACACCACGTACACTGCACACACCACGTACACTGCACACACCACGTACACTGCACACACCATGTACACTGCACACACCACGTACACTGTACACACCATGTACGCATACACACACCATGTACACATGCACACACCACGTACACTGCACACACACGTACGCTGCAAACACCATGTACACAGCACACACCACATACACTGCACACACCATGTACACTGCACACACCACGTACACTGCACACACCATGTACACTGCACACACCACGTACACTGTACACACCATGTACGCATACACACACCATGTACGCATACATACACCATGTACACATGCACACACCACGTACACTGCACACACCACGTACACTGCATACACACACCATGTACGCATACACACACCATGTACACATGCACACACCACGTACACTGCACACACCACGTACACTGCACACACCACGTACACTGCACACACCACATACACTGCACACACCACGTACACATGCACACACCATGTACACACACGCACACACCATGTATACATGCACACCAAAACCAATAAAATATTTATGAGCAAAGTTGTAGGGGACTCTATAAAGATGCTGACTCTCTGGTATTTGTGTATTTTGCCCTTATGTGTTTTGTTAATATCACACATGAGTCTGTCCTCTTTTACTAAACCATTTCATAACATTAAGATGCTGTTTTAGATGTGGAGAACACATCTTGGGTTGGAATCTGCTTCCCTACTTCTGACAGCCAGAAATACTGTTCACCATTCATATTCATCCATCTGCTAGAAGACACTATAACACAGGCACAAAGACAAGCATCAGCAGGTCACCAGCCACAATACTGCCAGCGAAGGAGCACAGGTCACAACACCCTGCAGAGCTCTGCCCTATCTCCAGGAAGCACCTGGACTCGCAGGGCTGGCGTCCATACTGAGTTCAGGAAGCCAGAAACCAGCCTAGTGCAGCCCAGTGTTCCAAAGTTTTAAATATTCATCAAACATTGAATTTCATTATATTGTTTATCTATTACAGTGTTAGGGGAAGTTTCATGTAGCCCAGGCGGGCCTCCAACTTGCTATGAAGCCAAGGATGATCTCGCACTCCTGATCCTGCCCTCCCTTTCCCCAGGGCTTGGGTTACAAGCATGGACCACCATGCCCAGTTTTATGTGGTGTTAGGGGTTGGACCGAGGACTTCATGCATGCTCTAGGCAGGCATCCTACCAACTGAGTACATCAGCATTTTTATGAGAATCCTAACATACCGATCTTTTATTTGAAATGCATTTTTAAAAAGACAACCAATTCAAAAGCTTGTTGGGAGTCCCAACACGTGTCTTCCCGATGGAAAACAATCCACTAGGGACCAGTTTCAGCTTGGGGACAGTTCGGTGAGACTCTGGGACAAGCTGTCTCTAAGGTCTTTTTCTACTTAAGTAGTTTTATGATTTTCATTAGGCTATGCTGAGGTTTAAATCACAGCGGCACAAATCCAATTAAAATCACAGCTGCAAATACCAGAATAAAGTCTCCAAGTCACGTGCACCTGGGCAAAAACAGGTCCTGAGAGAAAGCCGTTCATTGTGTTTAATAAAGTAGCTGGTAGCAACAAGTAAGAAGACCATTAAATCAGGGAATGGAGACAGTCAGGGCCTGGGCATAACTCTCTTGAGACTACGGGGAGACAGGCATACGATGTCGGTTGCCATTAGCGACTGGGAGTTGCTTTCTCTTTCTGAAATGGACAGCTCACTTGGGCGCTGGTGATACACAACCTTACATCCCAGAGAGAAAAGTGCCAGCCCATTAGGGACTTCACCAAGTCCTGCCAAGTCGCTGGTCCCATGGCTTCCACTGCCACACGACGCACAACTGTGACTGCCGTTTTCAGGTATCTCAAAGCATCCCCTGGGACCTAGCAAGAAAGATCCAGAAAACATGAACTCACACTGGATGATTATTCACTGAGTGACTTTTCTGAGTTTACTTTTCACGTAAAATACAAAAGTTGTTGAGAGGATTAATCAAAACTTCACATGCAAAAGGCTGATGTAAAAAAGATACAGTAAAAGCTGATTAAGAAAGTGAATGATGGTGGTAGTGCACGCCTTTAATCCCAGCACTCAGGAGGCGGAGGCAGGCGGATCTCTGTGAGTTCGAGGCCAGCCTAGTCTACAGAGTGAGTTCCAGAACTATTTCACAGAGAAAACGGTGGAAGACAAATTAGGGTTTTTTGTTTTTGTTCCCCCCAGTCCCCCAAAATCCCACAGGCTAGGGAGATAGCCCAGTTAGGAAAATACAGCTCCAGTGTGAGGACCTGCGTTCTATTCTCAGCACCTAGAAAACCAGGGCATGGTGACTCGGGAAACAGAGACAGGAAGATCCCTGTGACTCACTGGCCAGCTGGCCTAGCCCACTAGAAAATTCCAGACCAGTGGTAGACACTGAGAAAAGAAAGAGGAATGACATCAGAGGCTGTAGTCTCATCTCCACACGTGTGCGTGGACACATGAACAAAAACACACCTCCTCCCTCCCTCCCCCTCCCTCCCTCCCTCCCCCCCTCCCTCCCTCCCTCCTCTCTCTCTCTCTCTCTCTCTCTCTCTCTCTCTCTCTCTCTCTCTCTCTCTCTCTCTCCCTCCTCTCTCAAAAATCCAAGTCAGATTCTTAGCACAACACGTAAGATACAAGGGGTTGGTACCAGTCATGGGCTGGAGTCGGCCTTGGGATAGGAAACTGCACACAACGAAGCCTCTCTGAGCTGTGCTGCAGTCAGCTCCACAGATTGACTGACACCACGATGCTGAGACTTGTGAACACACGATGCTGAGACTTGTGAACACACGATGCTGAGACTTGTGAACACATCATGCAGTAACTCGATACTCAAGCATACGTCTCATGTGCACAGAGATGTGTTATCTTACTGCTCATGCCGGGTTTGTGCATCAGTTCACCACAAGTGTCCAAACAAGACAGGAGCCACTCCTCTCTGCAGCGCCGTCAGGGTAGAAATGAAAGCCATAAGCAACAAGGCAGCACATGCTGCCCCAGCTCAGCCCAGCCAAGAATTTAGTTTATAGAGATGGCACACTGTGCTTGTCACAGCTGCTGAACCCGCGAGACCTTCACTGATGCCTCCATGAAGATGACAACCAGACACCAGACTTCCAAATAATAACCAAAACAGATGTAAGAACATTTTTCTAGAAGACAATTAAGGGCACCCTGCCACTTTGTTTTGGTGAGGGAGAATCCTTTCAAAATGAGCAGTCATTTAAAACTTCAGACACTGTGCATTAATGTTTCTGTTCATGAATCATTTTTTATTTGGGATATGAACAATTCTATACAGAATATGAGTTTTTAAGTCAGACATCTGGCTTGGAATATTGTTCTGTGAGTAAAGAACTAGCCTTGCACAAACGAGGGCATAAATTCAATCCAGAACCAACATTAAAAAGTCAAGCATGGTGGTCCATGCGTATAATCCCAGCACTGAGAGGCAGAGACGGTTGGATCCTGGGAGGCCACCAGCCAGCTGACATAGACAATCTACCTGCTGATTTCCAAGCCATGGAGACCCTGTCTCAAAAATAAGGTGACTGATGAATGACTTCCAAGGTTGTCTTCTGGCTTCAACAGCATAGGATGCATGGTCCCCACCCTCAATCATTAAATAAATACAAAAAAGGCATGCACCTAACCTTCAGCCCATTTTCTCTCTCTCTCTCTCTCTCTCTCTCTCTCACACACACACACACACACACACACGCACACTCACACACGTGCACACACACACACGTCTAGAAGATGGTGAGCAGACTGCTTGGGATACAGCTGTGGTTTTTTTTTTGGCAACACTTTGATATAGGTCTTGGCAGATGGAATACTAGCTTGCAAACTCCCGTGAAGTTCTTTGGGAGTTTATAATTGGTGTTTAGGGACTTTTCAAATAGAAAAAAGAAGTCGTTCATGTTTTCATCGGCAGTTGTGAACCCCAAACTGTGTCAATATGACCAGCCCCTGCTTATGAATTGCCAAGGTGGAATCACATAAGCAGAAGAGGACAACGGGACTCTACCCAGGGAATACACACAAGAGGACAACGGGACTCTACCCAGGGAATACACACAAGAGGACAACGGGACTCTACCCAGGGAATACACACAAGAGGACAACGGGACTCTACCCAGGGAATACACACAAGAGGACAACGGGACTCTACCCAGGGAATACACTCAAGAGGACAACGGGACTCTACCCAGGGAATACACACAAGAGGACAACGGGACTCTACCCAGGGAATACACTCAAGAGGACAACGGGACTCTACCCAGGGAATACACTCAAGAGGACAACGGGACTCTACCCAGGGAATACACACAAGAGGACAACGGGACTCTACCCAGGGAATACACTCAAGAGGACAACGGGACTCTACCCAGGGAATACACACAAGAGGACAACGGGACTCTACCCAGGGAATACACACAAGAGGACAACGGGACTCTACCCAGGGAATACACACAAGAGGACAACGGGACTCTACCCAGGGAATACACTCAAGAGGACAACGGGACTCTACCCAGGGAATACACACAAGAGGACAACGGGACTCTACCCAGGGAATACACACAAGAGGACAACGGGACTCTACCCAGGGAATACACACAAGAGGACAACGGGACTCTACCCAGGGAATACACTCAAGAGGACAACGGGACTCTACCCAGGGAATACACACAAGAGGACAACGGGACTCTACCCAGGGAATACACTCAAGAGGACAACGGGACTCTACCCAGGGAATACACTCAAGAGGACAACGGGACTCTACCCAGGGAATACACACAAGAGGACAACGGGACTCTACCCAGGGAATACACTCAAGAGGACAACGGGACTCTACCCAGGGAATACACACAAGAGGACAACGGGACTCTACCCAGGGAATACACACAAGAGGACAACGGGACTCTACCCAGGGAATACACACAAGAGGACAACGGGACTCTACCCAGGGAATACACTCAAGAGGACAACGGGACTCTACCCAGGGAATACACACAAGAGGACAACGGGACTCTACCCAGGGAATACACACAAGAGGACAACGGGACTCTACCCAGGGAATACACACAAGAGGACAACGGGACTCTACCCAGGGAATACACACAAGAGGACAACGGGACTCTACCCAGGGAATACACACAAGAGGACAACGGGACTCTACCCAGGGAATACACTCAAGAGGACAACGGGACTCTACCCAGGGAATACACACAAGAGGACAACGGGACTCTACCCAGGGAATACACTCAAGAGGACAACGGGACTCTACCCAGGGAATACACACAAGAGGACAACGGGACTCTACCCAGGGAATACACACAAGAGGACAACGGGACTCTACCCAGGGAATACACACAAGAGGACAACGGGACTCTACCCAGGGAATACACACAAGAGGACAACGGGACTCTACCCAGGGAATACACACAAGAGGACAACGGGACTCTACCTAGGGAATACACACAAGAATTTTGCTATAATTCTGTAAGTTTATACCACAAGATATGGTATTTTTTAGCCCCTTGGAAATAGTGAACATAGTTTTGATAATAAACATGTAAAGCCTGGAGAATTAGAATTTCAAATGGTTGCCATAAAAATACTCTGTATGGACTTAGTAGACGCCCTAGGGGAGGCCTCACCCTCTCCATGGAGCAGATGGGGGGAGGAGGGGAGAAGGGGGAGGGGAGGGAGGGGGAACTGGGATTGGAATGTAAAAAATAAATTAATAAAAAATGAACAAAAGGAAAAGAAGAAGACAAGACTCTGTATCCCTCGCTTGCTAAGCCACCTCTCAGATGAGTTCAGCCCATGGCACGCTCAGTAAGTCTGTCCATGTTGCCACCGGTCACCGTGATGGGGGGGGGGACTTCCTTTTCACTGTTTAAGCAGCTGGGACAGGGAGGCTACATGGCCAAGGGCCACATGGGAATTCATCAGCCCCACACAGGCTTCCAGGCCTAGCGTCTCAGCAGCCATTCGTTTGTGCCTTAAGCCATGGAGGAGGGTGCATGCTGCACAATATCAGACCCAGGCAGGTGTAGGAGCATTGAGATTACAAAAGCCACACAGTTTGTAGTGAAACTTTTACAGCCAAGGGCTGGGGAGGCAGCACAGAGGCCACACGCCATCCAGCATGTGTCAGGCCCTCGACTCCAGCCTCAGCACGCAGAAAGTCATGAAGTTCACATGTGAGTGAACTCCCATACAGCATCCAAGAGGTTAAACCAACAACAGCAAAACCCTAACACCACGGGTTGGTTTGCAGCAGACGCTGGTCACAAGGGTAAGTTCTAAGGAGCTGAAGAGACAGGAGCTGTAGCTAAGCAGGGAGGGGTCTGCTACACAACTCAAAACACCCTGGGCTTTTTAACTCCATGGCTCAGGTTGTTATCATGTACTTTGAGAACCAAACAACTGGGTGGATGGGTGGACGGATGGACGGACGGATAGGCTGTGTGTGCTAAGTCAGTTTCTTACAGAAACCCTGGGACACGGCCCACACAGCCACCACAAAGCATGGAGTACTGTGGGGATTTAAGAAGAGGAGCTCAGTGTCTCTCTACAAGAGTCTTTCATCCCTGACATAACAAACTCGCCCAAAGCACGTAACCAATACCTCAGGGTGCAACAAACAACTTTCTAGAAAAGCACTGAAAGCCACTGCAAACTCCTGGTTCTGTGAAACTGTATTATTCATGGGCTTTGCTTAGATTTATGGTGAGGTGGACAAAATGTTCTTTTCCACAGAACCAGAATGTGGAAGATGCTGTGACTGTTCTGTTTCCTCCCCTGTTCTACACATCTTGCAAGGGTATAATACTTGATTTAATGGCTCAAT